TTTCCTACATCTTCCTCGTGTCAATAAAAGAAGGGGGGAAAAAGAAAAAAAAAGTGGAGCTGAGTAACGAACACACCCCTCACGTGATTCTCACCATCTAAATATAATCTTGACTCATCCGGAGCAATTTTTCTACAGAGGGCCGCAGCTGATCATCACTGTTCTTCATGGGTTTCCACTCTCATCGGAATTGAGCTGAAAAATAATTCAAGTGTATAGTGTTTAAATTGTTTTTTAACCCTTTATATTTTACTCAGCATTTCACTGCTGTTAGAGAGCTTAGGTGATGTCCTTGTGGAATACGTGGTCATTTGCATCTTCGTATGTCTATCGAATCAATAATTCACAGTATTTTGGGATACTTCTTTCACTCATATTCCATCCATCCATCCATCCATTTTCATCCGCTTATCCGTTACCAGGTCACAGGGGCAGCAGTCTCCATGACCTCCACCCAAATCACACTGCACCGGACCAACCCCACTGAACCTTCCTGCGGGTGGTGAGTCCACTGGAAGGTACCAACCGCCCTAACCGGGATTCGATCTCGAGACATTGCCTCTGGGCCAAAGCGCCACTCACTCATATTTTACTCCTCAAATTTGGAATTCTGGTGTTTCCATAATACAATCCTCTATGATCATGCTTTAGCGCACAAACCTAAAACACAAAATTTGTAGTCAAAATCACATGTTACCGTTTTACTGCGTAAAATGAGAATTATTTACGGCGTAGGATCAAATCAGACCGACGTTGCTATTGCTCTTTGAATTTGAACCAGAAGTGCTAGAATTCCTTTTACTTTTCTATCAAATCAGTTAATAAATATTTACAGGTCACAACAGACTTTTTTAAATTTTTTAAAGTATTGGTGTTGTGGTACATTTAGATATCTGTGTCTTTCTCGTTATCACCACACTCTGGGTTCATGAATGAGACGAGAAAGTTACTGGTCTTTCATTTTCCACAATTTCCCGCCTTTTTTTTTTCTTTCAAAAATGCTACTGTCAGATATGTTAAAAGAGGAACCAACTAATCTGCATCGACTGCAGCAAAGATTCCCTGCCTGTATGGACTAAAGTATCTTGTTAAATCTATGCAGTAAAAAGTCAATTTACTATTTAGTACTAGGCTATAGTTTACAGTGGGGAAAAAAAAAATACTACTTTACCACAAATCATACACACAGGCTGATATCGAACATTCAATTGAGAGATCAACGTTCCTCGCAGAGAGTGCGCACGCGCGTGTGTAAACATTCTATTACTCAGTGTTTTATCTTCTGTACAACCTGAGCGGCAACAGCAGCAGAATTCAGTCTCCTAGGCAACAAGCTAAGTTTCTTACGGTAACAAATTGCCAAAGCCCATTGGTGGGAGCTCCCTGCAGGATTCCCATGGCAACAATCCCTTTGATTTCTGAAATTTGATACCAAGTATGTTTATATAACCATCAACGTAAGAGGATCAACACACACTCACACACACACAGACACACATGCATCCTTTGAACTAACTTGATGTTTTATTTATGATTATATTGATTTATTATGACTCTGATCTGTTTTGCTGATCATAATCATAATAAATGAACAAAGCCTTCTGATATATACGTCATGCATTCAAATGATCGTCACTAAAGAAAACTAAATTGCCGCAAAAGCCATCTTTGTACAGTATGTATTTGTTGGGCTAGCCTGGTTGAGATTTGCCCTCACAACCGCAGTGAGATGGAGTTTTACAGTTTTTTTAAACATTAACCTTGTGAAGCAGGGTTACCATACGTACCCTTGGTGCTGCATTCATATGTGAATGGGCAGGACATTTTACAACAAAGGCAACAATTCATTAACTTAAAATCACAAAGTCTTTGTTTCATGGCACGGGCAATGGTTACGAAGCAAAGAAACAGCCAAACGAACTAAAAAATAAGTGACTTTTTTACTTTTTTTCCTCTTTTAAGAACATTTTAAAACAGGGAATTATACTACTAAATATGATTGAGACCACGCATGGGCAAACTAAGGCCCGGGGGAGACTTATACTACAAAATATGATTGAGACCAGGCATGGGCAAACTAAGGCCCGGGGGCCAGATGTGGTCCGTTCAGCTTTTTAATCCGGCTCGCCGGCTCATTTATTTATATTATGATTTTACTTCGATATCATTTATTTATATTATGATTTTACTTCTGACTTTTCCTGGTAATACCCAAGTTTCTCCAATAGAAAGCGTAGGAAGTGATTAAAGCACTCAAGCATTTCAGCCTTTATGCATGACTTTTACACGTCATTTATCTTAGTTCACACAAACGCTCGATCTATCGGCTCCTGATCCGCCCCCCCCTGTTCAATTTTAGGACAATTGTGGGCCACCAGTCTAAAGGTTTGCCCAATGGTGTAGATCAGTGGCCATTAATAGGCGGTTTGCTGGCCACTTCCGGTTCCATGAGCCATCCTTTTTGTGGCCAGAACTGGGTTTTACTTCACTATGTGTTTTAAATTGGTCAGCACGCGTAAACATGGACTGAAGTACGACGAATTAACTTCTCCAGCACGGTCAGAAGTAGCATGGTTTCCGCCATCGTTGTTATTGCGGCGGCGTAGAGCAGGGTTACTACTGTAAATGGTGACAAAGAGGCGGGGCTGACAATAAAGCATTTGGGGAAAAAAAATGTTTTGGGTAATTCTACTTATTATTCTACCTTATTGCTGACAATTTCAGAGGGCTATTTGACATTCAAATTCAAACTAATTATGGCAATGCAGTGGGCAGACCTGTGTGTTGGGTTGGTTCTTACGCATGTCAACACACATCGCAGTAAATGGTAGGAAAGCACACCAGAAGCTCGTCAAAAATCCCCCCCCTCGGTGTGTCAGAAATGTGTATAAAATAACAACAACAACAAAAAAAAAACAATTTCAGAAAAAGCTACTTTGGATTTATGTAATTTATAAACCAAGCCTTTCAGATACAGCTCTCGGAATACAGCGCAGATCTCGGAAATAAACAAACTAAAACACAGCCACCAACGCACACACATACACACACACACTGGATAATCAGGTCTCTTTGAACAACCTGGTTTGACTCTCTGGTTGCTATGCCAGCAGACATCATTAGTTTTGACTGTAAGGCTCTAATTGTTCTTTGGATCAACTGTGTTTGATTTTAGTATTAAGGTTAACATGAAAAGAGAGAGAGAAAAAAACATTGTTAGTACAATAGTCACAATTAGTCACTGTTAGATATTGCTTTTAACTCGATTAACTCGGTATACCCGATATATCATAAGAGGCTCTATATAATATGCAATACTTTCTTACAAGACACAAACATGTATGCTTAACTGCTTAATATCTCTGTCCTTAGCTTTTCTTTTTAATTCATCAGATAAGTGAATATTCTGACTCATAATTCAGTCCCAAGTAGCATTACTTTGCTCATATACATATTCTTGTACTTTGTTATTTTGTTCATTGCAACATTCACTGTAGTGACCTCCCGTTCGGCCTCCTGTTTGTCTTTACCTTTGGGTTTGGACTCGTCACCCCTGAACTCACCCTTGTTTGCCATTAAATACCGATGAGACTTTTCCCCCTGTCTACAAATGTACCCGTCTGTCTGAGTTTTGAACAAACACAGTGGCCATCGAACTGGCCCAGACAGTGTCTACACCGCGCCGGCGGTTCCAAAAACAGCGTTTATTTACACATCGTTTCCTCTCACACACGCCCCCTAGTGCCAGCTCGTGCACCGCTGGCACCACATTTTGCACTGCCAGGCCTGTATAATTGTACCACAATATAGTAGACATCTACTTTAACAGGCGATGTAAATTACCACTAATGTACATATATACGCAGGGTCCCAGTGGAGTGGTTGAATAACTACACTACACTAGCATTTCAATTTTTCAAAAGTTTGACCCCTTTCTTTACATCACCTCGAGTTTCTCGCCGAGAACAACCTTTGAAGTCTCGCTGGCTTCAAAGGTTGTTCCATCTTTATCCTACGACACATTAAGAAGCACACTGAATATTATTACAGAAAAATAATTTTATAATTATATCAATAATATAAGTAATTATTATAATTAGGGATGTCTGATATGAACCTTTCGCCGATATCAGATATGGCGATATTGTCCAAACACTTTCCACAATTTCTGATACTGATATAGTGGAGCAGTAGTGGCCTGGTGGTTAAGGATGTTAAGTGGCCCCTGCAGTGTTTCTCAATTATTTTCTACCATTCTAAGCCCCAAGGTAATATTGATGAATTTGTCTATATAAACCAATGTATGAGTTTCGGGCACCAAGAGTTCTACATACAATCCCCTGATTGTATAAATAGATTAATAAAATGAGCTGCAATGCTGCCACCTAGTGACTGGAGACTTGTTCAATCGTTCAAGCATGAATAAATAAAGTACAAAGTACAGTACAGTGAATGTCCCTTCTCAAGCTCCCTGTGACAACTCACTGTGCATTGTGTGCAGTGGTGTGAAAATCTGTAAAAAACGTTCACGTTCATATACAGCCATATGCAGACAAAACTATTTTAATAGTCACTATCTTCTGTCCGGGTGTTTATTTATGCTCTATATTGTCATTGTAACACGGACACGGATACAACGGACACTGAGCCTCTGCTTTTAACCCATCACCAAAGTGAGCAATAGGCAGCTTTAAGAGACCTGAACAATCAGTCAGGGAACCAACCAGAAGACAATCAATCACCAAAGTGAGCAATGTGCAGCTTTAAGAGACGGGTCAGTGCTATGCTCATCTGACGTCCCTTACTACAGTTACAAAGAACAGTATAGAAGGACCTGAATAATCAGTCAGGGAACCAACCAGAAGACAAATACAATCATCTGAAGGTGGAGCCATATAACATAAAGAGGCTCCCTCAACAAGATCCCAGTCCTTACAGTACACGGTGATAAAGACAAGCTGCTGTTGTCACCTTGCGCCCACAAACCATTGACATGGAGGTGGGGTCCCCGGTGAGCGCTGTGAGGAGTCAGAGGGTTGTGTTAGGCAACAAGGTCTGTCCTGCTGTTGTTACGATCAAGGATGGAAGAATCCATAAAATTCTCCCAGACGGCGAAGACCCTGACGAGGGTGGCTTTGAGGTAAGAAGGCTTGAACGCTGTGTGTGTATTTTTCCCGCTTCAGTTGTGATAAGAATTAGACTCGACTAGAAGCACATATTAGTTTAGTTTGAGCATGCAGTCGGATGTGTTTTAACACGTTTTAAAACGTCTTTAAGTAATAGTTCGCGTCACTAACAGTACACATGCTGCCCAGTCTGCAATCCTCCTATCTGTCAACGACACTTGTCTTCTGGACTTCTTAAGGTCTTTGTTTGTTGTTTATTTAATCTATTCATGACTGATCTATTGCTTTATCCTGTAAACCCTATTTATCTTAATACATTTTTGTGTTCTTTGAAGCTAACAGACGATAGGTGTAAAAAGAATGTCGCACCGGCCGGAGGAGCCCAAGTGACCCTTGAACTGTGCAAACGTCATGACAATGGTGGCTAATGCAAACATGCAGTTGCGGCTTTTCCCTCGTACTCTAATTCTAGGACAAGATGCAAACCTGTTGCGGGGACACCGGGTGTGTACAAAACGCAAAGGACAACAGGAGGGTTAAAATAAAACTTATATTTTTAAGCATATTTCAAGCATAACTAATATTCAGTCAGGTGGAGCAATCCATTTAAACCATTAAATAATAGGTTCAAGTGTCAGGTAAAGTGTGGTTTTAGAGTTTTTCCCCATCATACGTTAACCTTTGAACTTCCATTCTCAAACATGTCGACCGGCTGTGTAATCTCACTTTAAAATGATTCAATTGTTGCCTGATTTCAGGTGTTGGACATGGGGGACAGTGTAGTGATGCCCGGTATCGTGGATTGCCACGTTCATGTGAATGAACCCGGTCGGACCTCTTGGGAGGGTTTCTGGACTGCAACCAGGGCTGCCGCAGCTGGAGGCGTGACGACGATTGTAGACATGCCACTGTAGGCAAACGGGCTCTTGTATTTAACCTGAATTAGCATAGCCAATTGATCCTAGGACTAGTCAAACAAAACAACTGCACCGCAGGTCACATTTCGTTAGTTCACTTTCCGCTTTCACACATAAATTAATTTGTAAGAAAACAAACTAAAAAAAAAAAAAAAAGACTTTTAAGTGAGAACAGAACATGCTACGCATGCTACTTGCTATTAGAAGCTAAAGGCTGTGTTCACTGTATTTTCGCATGCCTTTAAGATTTCAAGAAAGTTCAGATTAGTTTATTGTATGGCACAATATAATACCCTGGTGGTATGATATGATGCAGACAGTTTTGTTATCTGTGTGATAAGTCGGTGTTCACAGACGGACCCCAATTTTTATTCTAGTAATAAGGATTTCCACAATGAGCCTGTAACCTTATACAATGACAGCTCTGGAAAGGATATAAAGAGTACTTACTGCCTGGGTTACTATATTTGCAGTCAAATATCAGTGTTGAGTATAGTTCGTACTACGGCATCTAGGATGAGGTTTAGCAGAAACCCTGGTTGTTAAGAAGACACCACACAGCCAAAGAACTGTTCGTATAATTACGTATACTATACTATATGTGTATATGTTTACATATCCGATTTATTCGTTGTTCGTATAATTATGTATACTATACTATATGTATATATGTTTACATATCCGATTTATTCGTTTGCTTTCAATCTTTCAGAAACAGTATCCCACCGACCACCACGCTTCATAACTTTCATGAGAAGTTGCGGGAAGCGGCAGGGAAATGTTTTGTCGACACCGCGTTCTGGGGAGGTGTCATTCCAGGCAACCAGGTAATTGCGCGCAACAAAAAATGTGTAGTTTAGCCCGGGTCTCCAAAATGATATTCAAACACTGCACTGATTCTTTTACAGCATGAGCTGCGACCCCTGCTCAACGCTGGAGTGGCGGGTTTCAAATGTTTCCTCATCCACAGCGGCGTGGAGGAGTTTCCTCATGTGACTCTCAGTGATCTCCACGCAGCTATGAAGATGCTACAAGGAACAGGAAGCGTTTTGCTGGTAACTGCCCAACCATAGCTTTTAATGTCGGTTACTATGATAATGACGTGTAGTTAAATGAAAAGCGACCAACTAATTTTTTTTTTTTTTTTTTTTTTTACTACAGTTTCACGCAGAATTAGAATGTCACCAGGAAACCCCTGAATTAGCTGGTAAGAGTCTTTTTATCTTCTACACCAGGCGTGGGCAAACGTTTTGAGTCGTGGGCCACAATTGTCCTAAAATTGAACGGGGGGGCAGATAAATGGAGCGCTCATGTGAACTAAGATAAATGACATGTAAAAGTCATGCATAAAGGCTAAAATGTTAAAATGCTTAAAGCATTTTCTCGACGCCATGGGTACTGCATAGAAAAGGCAGAAGTAATAATAATATAAATAAATTATATATAATTTTGACAAGTTTGGCGGGCAGGATTAAAAAACTGAACGGGCTGCAGCCTGCCCCTGTGCCTTTGTTTGCCCATGCCTGCACTAAGCCCTTTTAGTTGTCAACACCAGACAGAAATAATTATTTTAGTACAATATTTGTGACATTGTTGGTGAATATAGACGTCAAAAACATCACAAATCTACAAACTTCTCTCTGGAGGTGTGGCAGACAAATGTTTTGCAGACACTGAGTCACATTTACCTGAACATATAATCATTAAATGTTTGAAATACAAAAATATTTAACTGAATCATTAATTCTCTTTTTTTTTAAATAATAAAAAAAGAAAAGCTGTTGACAGTTTAAAAATACTAACTTGGTTTTACATAAATAAACTATATGGCATAAAAAATGTAAAATTCACTTTTTTTAAACAAAAATCAATAACTTAATAGTGTTGGTGATTTAAAATTAAAGAAAATAAAAGAGTTATATGTTATTTCTTATTAAGATAAAATACCTTAATTAACAAAATAATCATAAATCAAAGAAAATGCTCTTCTCCGCATCCATCACAGCCTGTATCATTTCTCACCTGCGCTGATTTATTCCCACATCCAAGTAATGTACTTGGATTGTGACACAGTTCAAGCACAATCAGTGGATTGGATCATCACAACATTCTGTTTAGACCATATGATTTTTTTTTTTTCTGTTAGGACAGAAAGACAAATAACAAGAAAAACTAACCCAAAAATGGAGATATCTGCAAAAAATACAACTGGCTTGCTTCATAATGTTAGTGGATCTGAGTCATTACTGTGAATGTTAACCCTTTTGTTGTCCTTCGACCCAAAGTAGGAGGGTTAAAGCCTCCACAAACACAGGCTGGGCGTTGAGACGTTTACTTTGCTCAAGCTGCTTCGGAAAACAAAACCATTTTTTGCTAGTAAAAATGTGTCCTGAGCATCTATAAGTGGATGGATAATGCAATTCTTGGATATACAATGCATTATTCTGCTGTTTAAATGTAGTAAAAAAAAAAGTGCGATTAATTTCACAAATAAATTAGCACAATTTTTGCATTCATTTTGAGTGCCTTAGCATTTACTTCCATCCATCCATCCATCCATTTTCATCCGCCTATCCGTTACCGGGTCACGGGGTCAGCAGTCTCCATGACCGCCACCCAAATCACACTGCAAGATCTTTTAGATCTTTTCTAGTCCTTTTAAACAAAATAATAAACAATCCTGCGAGTGGCGAGTCCACTGGAAGGTACCAACCGCCCTAACTGGGATTCTATCTCGCCCAGGAGGTGAACCCTGGGGTTCCACACCAATGACAGAGACATTGCCTCCGGGCCAAAGCGCCACTAGCATTTACTTCTTAGCAGAGGTGGGACCGAGTCGTTGCTTTGCAAGTCACAAGTAAGTCTCAAGTCTTTGCACTCAAGTCCGAGTCAAGTCTCAAGTCAAGACGGGCAAAGTCCGAGTCGAGTCGAGTCCAAGTCGAGACGGAAAAGTGTCAAATCAATTCCCAAGTCCTGCCGTTTCTGTTTTGAGTCCTTTCTAGTCCTTTTAAACAATACAATCATATATTAACACAGATCAATTTGGGTTTTGGAAAAAGTATCAAGTCACGTCGAGTCAAAGGGCTCAAGTCCAAGTGAAGTCACGAGTCACTGACGTTAAAGTCCAAGTCGAGTTGCAAGTCTCTTTACATTTTCTCAAGTCGAGTCTAAAGTCATCAAATTGATGACTCGAGTCTGACTCGAGTCCAAGTCGTGTGACTCGAGTCCACACCTCTGCTTCTTAGGACGTAATAATTTTCTTGATCTGATCTTTCTCTTTTAGATCCGTGTCAATACACAACCTTTTTGCAGTCCAGGCCAGATGTCATGGAGATGGAGGCAATTCAAACAATAATAGATCTCTGCCTGCAGTACAAGTATGATTGAATCACTCTGGGTTTCATGTTTTCTTTTGTCTGTTTCCACAATAAGGAACCTTTGTTTCTCTTGCTTGCTGCTGCTGCTGCTGCTGTAGGGTGCGTTGCCACATTGTTCACTTGGCAGCAGCAAAGCCACTGAAGATGATCCAAAAGGCGCGTCAGGCCGGAGCCCTGCTAACGGTGGAGACCACTCACCACTACCTCAACCTGTGTGCCGAGAACATTCCGGCAGGGGCCACGCAGTTCAAGTGCTGCCCCCCAATCAGGGGAGCTGCTAACCAGGTTGGGGAAACATTATGATCAATATTTTTCTAACGATTGGGCTGCAGTTAAAAACGTTATATTTGTATAAGGGATTTAAAATTCTGCTGATTGTTTAGCTTCAGGGAGAGCCCTTTCTCTCTCCAGAAACAAGTCTTAGCCACTACTTGCAGTGCAGACCTAACTAATCTTGACACATTGTCTATAGGCAAAATATTTTCTGATCTGAAGTTTCCTTTTGGTAAACACAACTATAACAACAAAACCTCCTCCTCTTCCTGCTTTAAAGACGCTTTAAACATGCCACCTCTGTCAATCTCATATCTGTCGTGTACCACTGTTCCCTTCAAATTGGGGATTGGGATTACAGTAGTCCCTCGCTATTTCGTGGTTCATTGTTCCCCGGTTCACCACTTTGGTTTTTTTCCCCCCCCCAAAAAAAAAAAAAAAAAGAGCCAGTTCCTGCTACTACGACGGATACACCTTCGGAAATTGTGGAAGAGGTGCCCCCAAGAAATGGCACCACCCTCTGAAGAGACGTAAAATCAATCATCGGCCGCGCAGTAAAAGTCATCATCACCTTTCTCGTCATCATTTTACTGGTGTCGCTACTTCGCAGAAAATTCAGTTCTCGCGGGCAGGCCTTGGAATCTACCGCGATAAACGAGGGACCACCGGAAATGGCGCGTCACCAAAAATTGATTCAATGTCTCGCAGCCATCCGGTCATGCTCTCTGAAACCCAGATGAAGACTAAGAGGTTTGATTCCACTCTCGTTAAATCCTCCAATCAGAGTCCATGCAAGGTTACAAAGTCATGTCGACCAAGACACATTACCGGTTCATTGTGGTCGCCCAATGAGTACACCTGAGTGGATGCACTGATGGTAGTACCGACTTGTCAATCAAGGAGGCATTGCATCCTAGTGCGATGGAAAGGAATGTGGAAGACGATCCGCACGCCACAGAAATTTAGTCGGGTTAAGTCATTCCCATTTTTGATCGTTCTGGGGCATTGTTGGGCTTTGGCGCGGTATGCTAACGACAACACATTACACTAATGTATTTCAGAGGACATTAGCCAGACGTATCCGTCACAAGGCGACAAGACAAGAAAGTTCAACAGCTTCTCTGTTCCTGCATGCAGGAGACTGGGACAAAGGTCATCGCAGAAGCTATTAGCGCAGAGTATATTTCAATGTGCCCATATGCCTATGTGAACATTTATAATGAGTTCTATGAGATCTGCACTAGATAATTGGGCCCTTTATTTATATCCGCACTACGATGATACTTAAAGCCTGCTGGACCACGACTTCCCGCATTACATTTAATTTTGAGGAACCATATGAATTTGCAAAAAAACCACTCATTTTTAAACTGTTTTGCAGTTTCCAAATTTAGCCATAATGCATTGGTTATAACCGTTTACTTCTATGATTGATTTTTCCCCTTTTAGGCAAAGTTGTGGTCAGCACTTAAAGATGGTCAGATCGACATGGTGGTATCCGACCACTCACCCTGCACCCCCGACCTAAAGAACCTGGGGAGTGGAGACTTCACTAAGGCATGGGGAGGAATCTCCTCGTTACAATTTGGTAACTATTTCGTTAAATTTGTTCTAATTACAACAACAACAGTAATTTATTTACCCTTGTAGCGCCGACAACTTCTCCTCTCCCACAATGGTGTTTGTACTATTTTGAGCTTTATGTTAACTTACAGTTCAGACACAATAATGGTGGAAGGGGTGGACGACCAAGTTTTGTGCTTCTTATTGGTCAGATAAATATATGTACTGTAATGCTAGTTTGTACATAAAAATAATTAAGCAGTCAATAGTTGGAGTTTAACATAGGCCTACATAGTCAATATTATTATATATGTATATATAACACTTTATATCTTAATAACTATATTTACGTCACATGCTATACATATTAGTTACTACAGTTCCCCAAAACGTTTTCTTTAATATTACTTTTAAATATTAATGGCAAGTGGATAGTATTTTCATAATTCAACTACTGTATTTTCCGGACTATAAGTTGCCTTCTTTTTCATCCTTTGGATGGGTTTTCAACTTATACTCAGGTGCGACTTAAAATATAATATATATTGTAAAAATATTATTATTATTATTATTATTATATATTATTATTAATTTATAATGTATTATTTCACATGTTATTTTCACACTGATAGCCACTAGAGGGCACTCTAGGCTTGTGTACCAGTGCCTGCTACTCCTGTACCACTGAAAACTGACATGTTCTTTATTTTCACACTGACAGCCGCTAGAGGGCACTCGCGTATAGAGAAATCAGCATTATACTGTATATGATGTCAGTTGTCAGTTACGTTAAACGCGTTTCAAATTCTTCTGTTTTTACTAAGGGGCACAAACCTTCCATACTGCAGCAGTAGATCACAACAACATTTATCTCCCATCAGCTAAAAGTAGGATCGTTTTGAAATCTGGCCAAGGCTTAAAACAGTAACCAAAGGCTATGTTCCAGTTCAGAGTGCAAGAAAATTATTAACGCCATGAACTTTAAACAAGAAAGAAGGCTTACATAAAACTATGTAGGCCAAAGTTTAGATGTGAAATGATTTCCCAATTACTGTCTTTATTCCCTCTTGTCCAGGTTTACCACTGTTTTGGACTTCAGCCACCCAGAAAGGTTTTCAGCTGGCAGATGTGGTGAGGCTTCTCAGCCAGGAAACAGTTCGGCTGTGCAGCCTCGACCAGCAGAAAGGAAGCATCCAACCCGGCTATGATGCTGATCTTGTGATATGGGACCCAGAGAGAGAGTTCAAGGTAACAGCTTGTGTCACTACGGTTTATAAAAAGAGTATGTGTGTTGCCACGTATGGGGCAAGATCTTCCATATTGAAATGTGCCAATTAATAATTCTCATCATGGTAAAGGCTGTCTGGGTTTTAAGAAAACTATGAAAGAGAGTAAGGGACACGGAGTGAGTTTCCATAGATGGCAAATAAAACCAAAATGGGAAACGTCTCCATGTTAAAAAGAACACTTTACAAATTACAATTGATGTAAATAACAGTTATATAACAAGATGTTTATGAGGTAGAGTAATCGTGAGGAGGACTGCATTAGTGCAACCGGCATCCTCAAACTTATTGTTATTCTGTAACGTCCAAATAAACAAAGATTTTTAAGGTTTTAAAGGTTCCAGAGGCAGGAAATCATCGATTTTAACTTGATGATCTCTTTGATGAAATCTTTATTTTGCTTCTTTTGTAAAAGTAAAAGTACCCAATTGTAAATGTACTCGAGTAAAAGTAAAAAACTTAATTTAAACTTTTCTTTATGTAAAAGTATTCTAGGGCATGTCTTGGTCTTTAGACTGAAAATGAAGATTGTTCATTGATTGCACATCTTAACGCTCGAAAGATACAGTGAGACTTGTCTTAACATGTTTGAGCCATTAAAAAGCAGACAATTTCAAATTCTAACATCTAAACTTTTTGATGTTCCGTTGTAAGCTATACACAGGATCACCTTTCCAACTGCTTTTCGCAAACTTACATTCACAAATAAAATCCAGGCTACGCCGCACTGCACAAGGATATTGAAAAAACCCCTGCCAATCCCCATAGCCACTCACTCTGCCTTATCTAATCTCCTGCTGTTCTTCACAGATTCATGAAGCAGACATACATCATAAAAACAAGGTAAAAAAATAACAAAACAAAGTCATAAGCAAACAGAGAGGCTCTGCAGCACAAAGTTAATGGATTTGTCCTGTCTTGTCATTGTCAGGTTACTCCCTACCTTGGCATCACGTTGCGAGGACTGGTGCACGCCACCGTTCTCAGAGGACAGCTGGTGTACAGAGACGGAGTCTTTTGTACCGAACCTCTGGGAAAGTCTATCCTCATCCCTGCAAGGAAAATTTAAGACAGGGGTCAAAAACTACTTGTTGTTGGAGAGACACCTTGGGGACCGGACGCTCAAAAAATGATGTTTGTTTATGATGTTGATGATGTTTATTTTAAAATCCAATTCCTGAACAGATTGGATAGTTTAGTGGGCCGCCAGTTGATGATCACTTTTTAAGCCATTTCTTAAAAGTTAGTGTCCGCATTGGATCATAATTCGTGCAACTGATAGAATATTAAAGGTTAGGGATCCATGAAGAATCCAGAAAGAAAAGGAGAGAAATAAAGATGAAGGAAAGAGGATTAACAAAAACAGAAACAATAAGTAAGAATTTCAAATTTGATAGTTAAACTGTGTCTGTGAATAAAAGCTCTAAGAACAGTGTTTTTTTATGCTCTGCCTTATCTGACTATCACTATGGATTGTATGTTAAAGACTAAAACATTTTGCAAAACTGGACTTCCGGTCCAAACAGAAGATGATAAATGATGGAAGACCCACGCCGGAGCTAAAAGGTTTGCTTCAAACTACGGGACAGAAGAGTCGTTATTTTTAAACGTACTGGTACAAACGAAAACACTGGCTGTGTTGCTGTCCTGAAAGAAACCGCCTTTACAGCTTTCCGTGCTTTTTATTCTCATTGTGTGAAAACGTCTGGACTAACTAGGGATACTGTGACCTGAAACATTTACAAAGAAGCCTCAGCGGACATGAAAGATCACTTACGCACATTCAAAGCCAGATTTCTTTAAAAGAAAATTGGAAATTCTCTGATCAATTTGGCATTGGATAAGAAACGCAAACTCAACATTGGCGTCCACAACGCTAATGTTTAAAAATAAGGAAATTATAATAAATATTAATAATAAGGAAGACTATTACAACACAGTCATAAAGCTTTTTGTGGAGAAGGATCGGTGCATCTCCATCTGTAAGTAAAAGTAAGGCTAAAAAATGGTGTTTGTTTTTTAAAAATAAGATGGGGGTAAATAGGAAAAAATTAAAGTATCTGTAAAGTATTTTCTTATCAAATTGATAGACAGCCTTTGATTAAAGCACCAGAATTTAAAGTTGGAAAAATAACAGAAATATTTCCTGAAGGTCAAATTTAAATTTGTGCTGCACTCATCTCTATAGTTTAATTTGTTTACAGTAAATATGAATTGCTTAGACACAAGAAGGGTGCTCTGTCCATTTGGATGGATGGATGGAAACGTCCTTTGTAGGACAAATCTGTTCCTGTGTATATGTTTGTGTTGGTGTCATTAAAAAAAGAATGCTGATGGATATGAACCATTACCAGGTGATGCTGTTGGATGAATAGTGAAATACGATGCTGTTTTTGGTTCTTACAATTGTAAATCTGACTCCAGAGAAGTCAGTGCCTCACCAGCCATGAACCTCACTGCACGTCACTGGAGCACATATTTGTGTTGGTGTCATTAAAAAAATAATGCTGATGGATATGAACCATTACCAGGTGATGCTGTTGGATGAATAGTGAAATACGATGCTCTTTCTGAAACCAATAAACACCACCGGTCGCTCAGGGAAGCTAGTGAAATGAGTCGGAAGGAGGAGGGCGTTCCTGCTCGCACTCACCTGAATACACCGGATTCAGGTCGACCGAGCTTCCGTAAACACGAGCTGCTGAAGGCACGTCCTTCCAACGTCAGCGGCACTTATTGAGAAGACGGAAGAACTCCGTCGGAACATACGAAGGTAAACCAAACAAATATGGGTTTCCTACAAAAAAATAAAAATAAAAAGCACAATTAACTTCCAGCTATTGTCAAAATGGACAGCTTTCATATTCTGTACTTTGCTACGCTTCAAAAGTGAAAAGACATGACCCGTATTCTCGTTAGCGTGGAGTAGATTTGTGACTCGTCACGTTTCTTTGAAATGTATTTTTTGCACTACAACTGAGAAGAGAAAGTTACAGTCGACAATTTAAAAACAATAAATAATTCATTATAACCGAAGTACTGACAGAAATGAAAAGCAGCATGCCAACAGTTTTGAATTGTTCTTCGGGGCTGAGAAGATAAATGAATCAGGACCAAGTCCACAACTTACAGAACACTAGGCCAAGGCACAGTCAGGAAAGTTGGTTTAAACCATATATGTCAAACTTAAGGCCCAGGGGACAAATGCGGCCCGTCAAGCCGTTTTGTGTGGCCCATGGGAGCTTAAAAAGCATCTAGTAAAGTCCATGCAGCAGAGTTTCTTAACCAAAGTAATTAAACGTGACAGGAGAGGAGAACTGGCAGCAGACAGAGCACAGGTGGAAACTTTCAGCCAATCATCATGGAGCCAGCAGGTGACACTGACTGACCTAGGAGGAGACTGGACTAGAGCGGGGTGTGACAAAAGGCCTATAAATGTGATTAATGTTATTTTTGTTGCAGCCCTAAAGCCTCAATTTTAAAATAAAAAACCTCATAAAACACCAGATATTATTTTCATTTTTAATAAATTAATAAATTAATAAATTTAAATTTAACATCTCCAGCATTATTATAAATGGTTTTTAAATTTAACATCTCCAGCATTATTATAAAATCCACACTCCAAATATGTATATATATGCTATAAAATATTTTTTAAATGTAGAAAAGACATTTTAGCATTTCAGCCATCTTATCTAGGTCAACTAGAGCAGTTAGGTTTTTTGTTTTTTTTGCCCTGGGAGTCAATAATTAACGTTTGAGGACATGTCCACATCCCCCATATGTGCTGTTTGTCCTAACAGAGACAGAACTCTGGGGTGGCTGAGTGTTGACAGACGTGAGAGGATGTTGTTAACCGTGTTGAACTCCAGCCTGAGGAGCTCACTGGCCAGACTAAAGGGGTGTTCACTGCACAGACGAGACTTTAACCTTCTTTTTGACAGCTCTCTGTCACTCCGTGACCGTCACACTGCTGCAAGTATGGCTTCCCTTGCTGTACTGCCACCGGAGCGTCTGAAAAAGCCCTTGGCTGTTCCCAGTCGTCTTTTGTTCGGACCTGGACCATCCAATTGTCCACCTCGAATCCTGGAGGCTGGAGCCAAGCCTGTCATCGGACACATGCATCCAGAGATTTTTGAGGTGAGTAGCGTAAGGAGGTTTTGCAAAATCTCAAACATAATTTTCTATATCAACTGAACATGGTTCTAGCTGTCGGACAGGTTAACAAAAAAAAAAAAAAAAAATGACCCACAGTAGTGTGCATATCAGTAAATGCTAGCTCAGGCCTGGGCAAACTTTTTTTACTCGCAAGGCCACAATTGTCCTAAAATTGAACAAGGGGGGCCGGGGCAGGAGTAGATAGATGGAGCGTTCGTGTGAACTAAGATAAATGACATGTAAAAGTCATGCATAAAGGCTAAAATGCTAAAATGCTTTTGTCATTTTCTATTGGGGAAACATAGGTATTGCAGGGAAAAGGCTGAAATATAATGATAATATAAATAAATTATATACTTTGGAAAAGTTTGGCAGGAATAAGAAACTTGTTGAATATTAATTCTGAGCTGAGTTCCCTTTATTTGGTACAGTCAGTTATTGTGAGTTATTGTGTCACAGAGTTTAACATTAACATCTGCTGTCCTGGTCAAACAGGCACAGGATGTTGTGTACACACACGCACACACACAGACTTAAACCTAGTATGTGATTAAAAACAGTCCCACTCACACATACAGATGTAACCAGGTGTGAAGTAAAAGGGAGGTTTAAATTGCGTATGCATACATTGATTAAAATCAAAACATTTGTCACTTGCAGATAATGGACGACATTAAAAGTGGAATCCAGTACATGTTTCAGACCAACAACGCCGTGACTTTAGCAGTGAGTGGAACAGGACATACAGCCATGGAGTGTGCCATCTTTAACTCGGTGGAGCCTGGAGATAGTGTGGTGACAGCGGTGAATGGCATATGGGGAGAACGAGCGGCGGACATGGCAGAGAGGATAGGTACAGTATAATAGATGGAGTAACAACGACGAGCAGTTATGGTAATGTTACAGCGACCAGTACACTGTGTCAGCAGCAGCAATCCATTTTTGTAATAAAATAAAATAATTTTTTTTTGCGACAGTTTTCAGACATTTTATTCATCTCAGCCTTGTCACCTGATAGACTGCTTCTCTTCTTGTCTAGCACACACCCTGCCAAACTAAACAAACACTTGCACACCACCTCTGGCAACACTGTTTCTAAAAAAAAAACAAAAAAAAAACATGGATCTTTTTTGGCTCACTGTGTGGTACAGTACTTACAGGCTAACAACATTAGCTCCAACTTGAGCTTCCTCTCCCGTTCTAAACACACGCAAGACACAAAAACCCCACCAATTCCATATGTAGCCATATAAAGATATTTATCTACTCATCTTTTGTGTCACTTACTCATAAGATGGATGAACGATCACACTCGTGTGTAAATCAACAGGTGCCAAAGTAAACACCATTGTGGCTGCTCCTGGACGCTTTCTCTCTAACGCAGAAATCGAGCAGGTATTATGGCTTCCCGTACAGTTTTAGTTCATTTTTGCTGATGATCTCTTTATTACCAATGTTGTTACGTTAAAGGTTTTGGCTAAACACAGACCGGCCCTGTTCTTCCTGGCACACGGGGAATCTTCCACGGGTGTCCTGCATCCTTTAGATGGCATCGGACAACTGTGTCATAAGTAAGATGTATTAGCAACTTCCTGTTTGTCCAACTTCTTCTTGTGGACTTCATACGCTTGTAATGTTAGGAGAAAATATGTGGTGAGGTTTTCCCATGTTTACGGCCAATCCGTATTATCAGTGGGAGATTACCATAATTATGTTATATCTCTAAGAATCGTTATGGGGTTTTTTTCGGGATAACACATGGCTGCAAATATCGGTATCGGTTGATATTGGAATCGGAAATTAAGTGTATCGGGTATCGTCAAAAGGTTAATGTCAGACATCCCTAGTTATTAGTACAGGAACGAGTAGGGATGTCTAGATCTGACACTCAGGATCGACGTCGGTCTGATATTGGTCAAAATGTCAGGATCAAAAATCGACTCAATTGACTCTACTAGAGCTACTGTAGTTTTGGAGTTTTCTTTGATTTTGAACTGTGAGGACTACTTTAATATATATATATTTATATTGCTTATAAAATAGTTCTGATTGGTGTCCACAGATACGACTGCCTGTTCCTGGTGGACTCTGTGGCGTCCATCGGCGGAGCTCCGCTTTTCATGGATCAGCAAGGTTTACTGTGTAATCCTTGCGGAATTGTTTCACTTAGTAATATACATAATAGTCGAAGATTTACACCAACATATGTTCTTGTGTTTTAATTAAAAGAAATAGACATCCTCTACACTGGCTCTCAAAAGGTTCTGAACGCCCCCCCAGGTACAGCCCCCATCTCATTCAGTGAGAGAGCATGGTGAGAACTGTCAGTGCTGTACTTACAGGTAACGGATTACATTGAACCGAATGTGTTTTAAAGGCTGAATCTCCCACAGCAAGAAAATATTCGACCGAAAGACCAAGCCTGTTTCCTTCTTTCTGGATTTGAAGTGGCTCGCGAACTACTGGGGATGTGACGACAAGCCCTCCAGAGTGTGAGACACGTGTTTTCTCGCTGACAGAAATAATTACATTTTCTCAGGTTTCACTTGTGACATGTAAATTCCGTTAATCACTCAGGTTTCCTTTTTCTTCTATCTTTAAAGATATCACCACACTGGTCCAGTAACGGCTTTTTACTCTCTGAGGGAGAGTCTTGCTGTTCTTGCTGAAGAGGTAGGATCAGTTTAGTAATACTAATACTTAGTAATGTAATAGTAATAGAAAGAATATGGTGCCATATTTAGTCATATAAAAATCAAGCAATTTAACGCCAATAAAGCAATAAATCCTATAATTCTACACAATGTAACAAATGTACATTACAGTACATTGAATAGTCTGGCAGTTCAATTATTAAACAACATGATCGTGTTAGGGTCTGGAAAAATCCTGGGAAAGACATCAGGACGTGGCTGAATATTTTCATGCTGGCCTGGAAAACATGGGTCTTAAACTTTTTGTTAAAGAAAAGGTGAGTTTAAAAATCAAAAGTACAACCATTTAGTGATACAATTACAATGAGGGATGAATGTAATTGTGTGATTACAGAAAGCAAGGCTGCCCACTGTGGGTGGTTTAAATGGTCATTACAGAAAGCAAGGCTGCCCACTGTGACGACAGTGGTTGCTCCTCAAGGATATGACTGGAAGGAGATCACAAGCTTTATTATGAAAACACATAATATTGAAATTTCTGGAGGTCTTGGACCATCGGTTGGCTTGGTAAACCATTTTTTTTTAAACATGCATTTCTGTACGGAAATAGTTAGATATATAAGATATATAACATGGCTTATTTAAACGAGTTGAATTAAGATATATAACATGGCTTATTTAAACTCTTGGTCATTTCAGGTGTTGCGTGTGGGACTGATGGGTTGTAACAGCAGCAAGAGCAAAGTTGACATGGTGCTGGCGGCACTAAAAGATGCTTTAAGAAACTGCCACGAGAACAAACTGTGACAAATTGTTGGATATTGGTGTAAAGATTAGCCTGAATTTGTGATTCAAACAACATGAAATAAAAAGTTAAGTAGTAAACCTATGTAGTCTGTTTCTGTTTGAAAACTATACAAAATTCACACGGAACAATAAATAGGCTTGGGGAGAGATCAGAAGGAAATTGATTGTTAGAGATTGAAAGATAAATCTAGCAATATTAGACTATGTATATATATATTATGACAGTAATATTATAAAAAAAGGTCAAGAAAATTGGGAGAAACGTCAGGTCCCTGTTACTCCAGCAGTAACGTGCAGCTGAATGAATGTAGAACTCGAAAACGAGAGTGCTGCTCTGAGAGGAGCAGCCAAGTCCGACTCCGCCTCCTACTGGCCACTCAGAATTTAAGTCATTACCAAATCTTTATCCTGATAGATTCATATTTCAGCATGTACTTTATACCCTTCGCTGTCGACGTAATACCGGGTTAAATTAAAATAAACACAATACTTTTAGTGAGTAAAAGTATTGTGTTTATTTAAATTTGTAAATTTAAACACATGCTGGCGTTAATTATATAAGACATGACATGGCAATATCTAATTCTGCTTCAATAATGCTATAATCATTTACGTCATGCGTCACCCGGGGTTCGACGTGCGGTGCGTCGATAGGATACGTGCGAACGCGGTGTGTAAGGAAGTGAAATAGCGTATTAATAAAATAAAGGGAACAAATGTTGACATTATAGGAGACCTGGAGATAATTATAATGCTCAGGTCGACATTGTCGTAATAAGTGTGACAACACTTAATAACGTCCACGCAAATAACACGCCAAACCCTATTGTCTTGTGTCAATAAAGTTAACTTCAAAGACGACACAAGCGGAAGTGCGTATTTCAACTTCCTTGCTGAGGTTTCAGTATGAGGCGGTAAACGCTGCATGGCGTTCTGTTTAGCAGGAAGGGCATTTGTGTTCTTGTTGATTTTGATAATATCCACAACCTTACGTATATACTGACGTGATGGCAGGGAAGAGAGGAGCTCTAATCGTATTGGAGGGTGTTGACAGAGCTGGTAAAACTACACAATGTAAGAAGCTGGTACAGGCGCTGCAGCAAAACGGGAGACCCGCAGAAATGATGCGCTTCCCGGGTGAGCATTGGGTCACTACTTTATGGCGTCCACGGTCTTTGTAAGGTGTCCGCCATTACATAGAATGTAGAACACAAGTCACGCTGTATCTGTTTTTCCCCCAGACAGAAGTACGACTATCGGTCAGCTTATCAGTTCTTACCTGGAGAAGAAGAGTGACCTGGAGGACCACACAGTTCACCTGCTCTTCTCTGCCAACCGCTGGGAGCTAGTGTAAGACCTAACCGGAAACACCGTTGTCTTTATCTACCTTTTAAGGGGCGCCAATGGCAACACTTTTCATCTTAGTCACGTGGGACGTCATTTAGCCGTTTCACCCTTTTGTGTCCTTCAGATTATTTTTCCTTAAAAGGATAAATAGCATTAAGGCCAATACTGTAAGTAACTAGGGGACCCACAAGAGGGCGCATTTAATTAACTTATTACTAATAATTTTTTTTATTACTTACTTTAAAAAGCAGTTTTTAATAAGTGCTGGACACTTTGAAGAAATTTATTCTTTTAAAATGATGTTTCAAGGCTTATCAATCACTTAGAGAAAAAAAAACATTATATGGTTTTTCATCTTAAGCAACTTGCAAAAACTGACTTAATATATTGCATAAAATCATTAACCACCTTTAGGGCACTTGCTAATTTTCAAGCTGGGTTCTGCAATATTTGTTAGATGGGCTCTGACATCCACCCTCCTCAGAAGCAAATGTTTATAATCACTTAACAGTTGCAGAAATAAAGCTTCTTTTTCTGAACAAATCTTTTCTGAACATTGACATTGAAACAAGGACATAAAAGTATGAGTGGCAAAACATAACAATGCAACTTCACAGATCACAAAGCTTATTTCATGCAATTGCAATTCTCAAGAATGCAATGAAGTTTAGTGCAGTACTTCTCAAATAGTGGGGCGGGCCCCCTGGGGGGTCTAAATGAGGTGAAAGTCCTCCAATAGAACATGGACATAAGTGTACCACTGCTGTAATGCTTGAATGATAACAAGCCTCCAGTCACTAGGTGGCAGCAACTCATACAGTGGTTTGTACAGATAGAAATATACATGTTATCAAGTTCTCAATAGTATTTCGATTTGCGGTGGGGGGTTGGGGGG